TTTTACGCTCATTTCAACGATACCAAATATATTTGGCGCAGGTAAAAAAAAAGAAGATATAAGAGGTTTATTTGTATAAGAGGTTTATTTGTATTTTTTATTATCACTAAATTGTTGAAACCCAAAAGTAGATCATGATAAAATATGTAATATCGAATTAAAGATAATAACTTGTACTTTCTAAATAATATAAATTTCTTTTTCATTAATTATGCAGTTTTTTCAAAAAAGGTTATTTCATGAAAAAATAACATTTGTTCGTTTTTTAGTGGTTTTGGTTTAAAAATACAAAAAGCTATAAATTATGTACATCAGCTGAAGAACAAATTAATTACCTTTATGGTGACGTCATTAGTTTTTTAATCGGTTATAAAGTTCATAAGATATTTAAAATATCTAAAAACTGAACTTTAACCATCTAGAACCTCTTCATTTTTTACTTACGCCAAATAATTTTGGCATCGTTGAAATAAGCATAAAAAGTTCTATTGATCTGCATTTTTCGTTTTTGCATAACTGAACGGTCGGTATTCTAGATTTGTTCCCGGAAATGACGAACAACTCAAATTAAAAATGCATATTTTTATGTATTGTTTAGTATTTCCATTAAAACACCAAATATATATATATATATATATATATATATATTGCATATAATTAATAATACACATTTTACTTCTAATTGTATACTTTGCGTACTTTTTGTAGTCCCATTCTACTACCGTTTTCGCAAAATCCGATCATATTCTTCCCTTTCTCCTACTTCCAAAATACAAATCTAGATAAAGGAGTGTCAAATTTTAGCTGTATTATTGAATGATGAGTAAACTGTAAACAAAAATGCCTATTTAAAGACGAATTTCTGGAAAAAAGTCAAAATCAAAAATCAACAGAAGGAAATTGAAATGCTACTAGTGAAATTTCTTTTAGAAATTTAAACAATAAAGGGCCATTTACATAAGACTTTCCTCGCTTTGCTTGACAGTTCAAACTTTGACAACAAATCGTGAAACGCAGAAGGTATGCTACAATAAACACGTTGACAGCTTTTGCGTTCTCCTTTTCCTCCATATTTTTTATCTGTAAAATAGATAATATAATAATATTCATTAATAATAGCAATAATAATTCCTATTTACCCTATTTTTGTCATTAAATGCAAATGCAAGCGCACGAGAAAAGATACATGTAGACAGCTGATTGCCAAAGCGGGTAAAAGTTGGGAGTTGCCCAAGATTTTGCTTCGTTTTGCTTTGCTTTGCTTCAAACGTTTTTTATGTGAGCATACTCATGCATATGCCTACATCGATATTATATGTCAAAGCAAAGAACTATCAAGCAAAGCGAAGAAAGTTGTATGTGAATCAGCCTTAAGAGTCAAGTTTTCTAAAGTGGGCCACCCAACGTTGACTTTTAAATTTTTTATATTTCATTGACCGATTTTGAAAGTTAACATGGTGTGCAATATTGATACCAAAGCTTTTGCGTTAATTTAAATTTTTTTACGAGTTTTTTGCAAACAAATTTGTATGCAGGCTTTTACACCTTTTGCAATATTTCATCAACCATTCATTCGAATCTTATGATTTTTTGACAGCAATTAGAGAACTTATCGGGCATCAAAATAAAGTGGTCAGTTTGTAAAATTTCGATTCTCGTTTAAAAAAATGTATTTTTTAATCAATTGATTTTTTTTTCTATATACCTTGGAAAAAAAATTCAAAAAGCATTATTTGCGCTAAACATTCAATTTTATTTTCACAAAAAAAAAATACTGTACCTATGATTGGCTTAAAGTTTTTTACCAAAAAAAATAACTACTTTAAAAAGTAATATAATACAAATAAACTGAAAAGCAAAAAATAAAATTTTAAAACTCAGGTATCAAATCAAGAATTATCAAATTATTTCTTTATTTCTTAAAACAGTAAAAAAAGTTAATTAACTGCAGTACATATTATATATTTAACTTAGTCTATGTTCTCTTAAACATATGTATACAAAGTTATACTTTTGGTTAATATATTTACATTCAGCCTCTATCTGTATTCAAAACATAATTATGAGTGTATATTCCCAGTAGCAAAAAGAAGGAGTAAAAAGCAATGACAGAAGGCCTTCTCGGGAATGTAGAGGGCTCTACCATCTGCATGATTTCCTTAATTATTTTTTATATGAAATAGGCCCAATTGTAAGGCAGTGTGTTTCCGCTTTTCACAAATACTTTTGCGTAATAAAAAAAAGGCGCATAACAGAAATGAAAAATTATATGTTGGGGCAAACGTGATTCGAACTGGGGTTCTCTTGAAAGCTAACAAATAGTAGCAAACATCTCTAGCCACTCAGCAACAGCCACAACACGTGAATACGTTTTCAAATGATTATTTGAATGAAATTTGTTACAATCGTTCATACTAACTTATTTTCAATCTTGTGTAGATCATGTGAGTTTATTTTCTTAACACGTTGCCCACTGACTTCCCGAAAAGAAGCACTGGAAGCACTCTGTGTGTAGTGCACTTGCTTAGGAGCTGTTCTGTAATATCTTAGCAAGGGAAGGCCTCGACAAAATTGCTTCTGGGCTTATATACATACATATGATTTTTTGACAGCAATTAGAGAACTTATTGGGCAACAAAATAAAGTGGTCAGTTTGTAAAATTTCGATTCGCGTTTAAAAAAAATTTTATTTTTTAATCAAAAACAACAAAAAAAAACATAAAAATATAATTCCTAAACTTTGTGTAAAACTCGCGAAAATTCAGAAAATTTTCAACTTTTTAATCAGCTTTTTTAGAATTTTTTTGAGTATGCAGCCCATTAAATTCTAGTAAAAAAAATGCAAGTTCGGAGTTAGTCAAAAATCGCGTTGATTTTTGAGAATTTTTTTTGTTAAAGGTGTTTCGCTATTTTTCCATATAAAGTATTTTCGAAAAAAAATTTTTATATTGAAGAGACTGCGTGAAAAAAATGCCAAAAATCAACGGTAATTTCTAGCTACTTAAAACCTGCACTTTATTATAATAAAATTGATTGGTCTACAAATCTGCATACTTAAAAAAATTGTTAAAAATCTGTTAAAATCTGAAAATTTTAATGAAAATTTGCTGAATTTTCGCGAGTTTTGCACAAAGTTTAGGAATTATATTTTGCTGTAGAATGAACGATAGTTCTATACGAAATTAGCCGAAAAATATTAGAATGAAAATTGTTGCATATATTGTGAAAAATTTGCTGTGCCAATACTTTGCTCCGGCAGTGTATGTAAGTATCTTTCAATAAATTTTTTACAATGAATGTACATTTTCAAATAGCAAATTACTGTTTATAATTTAATAAAAAAAAATGTTAATATCATATTTGAAAACGCGTGGTTTTAAATCAAAAAAATAAATATTTTAGAATTCAATTTGAACATGCGCGTTTTCAATTATCAGACGCTCATATTTAAAAACGATTTGAAAATGTGAAAATGAATATTTGCGTTCTCAACTTAAATAAATATTGTTGGTGCAAAACCTGGGTCAAAACGTTTTTAAAAGTAAAACGTTCTATACAAATTTGAAAACGAAATTCTGTGTATGAATTTTTCGTTATCCTTGAGAGCTGGAAACAGCCATTAAGTTTTAAGATACAGTCTGTATTTGCGGTTATTAGTTTTAGGGGGGGTTTGAACCCCAAAAACTCACCCCTTGTGTGCGCTAATGTTTGAATTTGTTTTTCTAATATACGATGCTTACTTGCAAGTAGAGGATAATACATACACATATCAGGATACTGCGTACGTAGAAAGTATTGGAAAATTTTATTTGGAATGTTCTCCATTGAATGTGACTAATTTTTTAAGTTTCCTTCAAAATTTTGTCAAATTGGTTTATGGCCGCCTTAATCGTTCAAATACCCCTATGTGCGACGTTACGTTTTGTATTGAAAAACGACTTCGACTCGAACTCGTCCCCGTTCTGTGGTTTGTTTGCATTTATTTACATATGTATGTATGTATGCATGCATGTAGAAAAATCGGTAAAAACATCGATGTTTTAATTCGATACGTCAAACTACAATCGATGTAATTTTTCGAAATTCTTCAAACCTCGATAGTGTCATTGTGATTTACAACCCCAGTACAAACACACATATACATAAATTCAAAGCCGTATTTCTACTTAATTTGCTTAACTTCGACAATTTTCATGCATTAAAAAAAAGAAATATAGGGGGTTTTTAAATTTTCCTCGATTAAAACTTACAAGACGTTAAATCTAACAATATATTATAAATAATTTCAAAGGTCTATAAATCCCCTTTTCAAAATATGCTTGATTTTTAAAATCGGATGAAAAGTAGTCAAGCTGTTAATAGATAAGTACATAAAGTACGAAAATAACGTTTTTTTTTTATAAAAAAAAATGGAGGGTTCAGAAACTATAAGTAACATATTTTCATATTGTACTCGACCCTGCAACTATATTGTGCCTGCAACAACCTATAGTTAAGAGCTTGTTAGACTTGGCAATATTTCCAAAATTTCCACGCGATTCGCTGTCAGATTGAGAAAGATAAATTTTATTTCCACGTGTGAACACTTTTCGGAAATCCGTTTCAGAAATAAAAGTTGCAAGGTGTGACTGTCACTGGATGCGCTCAAATAGATTTCGGAAATATATTTCAACTCAAGGTGTGACTGCTCATGCAACTGCTTTCTGAAATTTCTCAATTTGACAGCCTCTTCGAAATATATTGCATTTACACCTAAAACCATTTTAACCGTTATTTTACGTTGAACAATTTTACGACTTTAAGTCATCAAGGTGCATACCACAAATCGGAGGAGAAGCTCGGCCATACACTAACATATTGTGTAAGCGCCCATTTATCATTATAAGACAAATACGACGCTGAAGACGAGTTGCGAATCCCCTACTTGTCTATAGAGAAAAAGGACGATATATAGTGTATTTACATTAACCTATTTAGATTGTAATGTAATGTCTTTTAAGGTTATCTGCATAAACAAAATTTAGTCGGTGACTATATTAAAATAATTGCGGAGATTTCCAGCAAAATATTACAATTACCAAAATCAACCCTTAAGCTATCAGTAGTACACCACCAACGCACCGATGCTGAAGAGTCCAGCGATGATGAAGAAGAGGAAGAAAAGTCAAGGCAAGCTCAAACGCAGAAAAAGAGCACTGACTTAGACGTAGGGCCACCAATATTAAGTAGCGAAGAGCAGGTGGTTCTTTTGGAGTGCATCACTCTATTAAACGACTCACAACGTGTACGTGTGCTTGTCGAACAAACTGATACATATCTCATCGATACAAAGGCGTTGTACGCATTGTGCAAAATTTGTCATAATCTTATGATCTACAATAAACAAGCCATTTTCGAATACAAGTATGTTACATTTGCTACTATGTAAATTTTTTCGCGAGGCATTCTACAACATATGTATGTATGTTTCTTTTGATGGTTTATAATTTCAAAACAGACTGCTTTACACGCTGGCGTTCATGCCAAATATAGTTCGTACCGTTTGGTTCACTTTGACAACGCAGTCCACCCAGCTAGGCTTCAACGCACCTCTCTCACTAATTTCCAAGGGGGTTGTACGTAAGTAAAGACTAATTAAATTAATTGCAAGTATTTATTTGTAAAGAAATTCTTTAAATTTTTCAATTCCACAGCACAACAGAGAGGTGTTGAACAGACAATTCCTTTACTAGCTACTTTTTGTATGCTTTTCGGACGACTATTACCAACATTGCATGATGCGGAGTTCTGTGATGAAAAAGATTTGTTGGCGAAATCGCTCCAGTCAACACTGGTAACCACAAAACATGTTCGCCTTATGCCATTTTCGATTGCCGAAATCGTACAATTATCGAAGACATTGAAAGAAATTTCACTGGGATTGGTAGATTTGGCATTTCCTGAGACGCGTTCAAACCTCAATGAGCATTACCGTTTTGTTTTGGGCCGTTCTGAATCCGATGATAAAAAAATGTGGCAGCAAAAACAGATTTGGGCGAACTTGCTGAAGGTTGTTGTATTTGTATTGAATCAAATACATACGCGGGATCTCCGACTTGGCTTTTGTCCCGAATCACATTGGACAGTAAGCCGTTTAGATTTGCCACTTGACCGGCCGACTGATTTACCGCTGACTCGTGGAAGTCGTTTTCGCGGTATTCGCCCATTCCAACCAATAAGAGACTTTACAAGGGAGGATTTTGAAAACGGCCCACCAATGTCCACCAAGCAAATACGATCTATAACAATTTTGAGGGAGATTCCTTTTGTCGTGTCTTTTAGTAAACGTGTGGGAATATTGCAGGGACTCGTGGCAGCAGATAAGATGCGTGTTCAGGGTAACTACCAAGCGTTTCTACAAGGCCCGTCTATTATCCTAAAAGTTAGACGTTCACATCTATACGAGGACGCTTACGATCGACTACGTCCTGAAAATGGTGCGTATCATGGAAAATTACTTATAATTTCAGATTTTTATATGCATTCCTTATTGATTATTCTGTCTCATTCTACTTTTGGAATGACAACGTTTATGTTTCTCGATTTTATTTTTTATTTTGCAGAGCCCGATTTGCGTTTAAAATTTCGCGTTCAGTTCATTTCATCTCTTGGTTTAGAAGAGGCAGGCATTGATGGAGGTGGTGTCTTTCGGGAATTTCTTTCCGAGCTTATTAAAACTGCATTTGATCCGAATCGCGGATTCTTCATGTAAATATTGACTTCTTAAAAGGAAATAAATAGCGATAATAAAGAATATTTTTTGTAGGGTCACAACGGATAATAAATTGTATCCTAATCCAGACGTTGCCGATTTGGAACCTGATTTTGAACGGCATTATTATTTCATTGGAAGGATCCTCGGCAAAGCGATTTACGAAAATTTGCTAGTCGAGTTACCATTAGCAGAATTTTTCTTGACTAAACTTGCCGGCAAATATGCTGATGTAGATATTCATCAATTAGCTTCGCTTGACCCAGAACTTTATAAAAATTTGTTATATCTCAAAGATTACGAAGGTGATGTTAGCGAATTAAATTTGGATTTTACTGTGGCCAGCAATTCTTTAGGTCATACGCAGATGATTGAGTTAAAACCAAATGGACAGAGTATACCTGTATCTGCATCCAATCGGATTGAATATCTCCAACTGATGGCTAATTATAAGTTGAATGTTCAAATACGTAAACATTGTGTAGCATTTAGGAGAGGTCTGTCAAATGTATTGCCAATCGAGTGGCTGTACATGTTTAGCAACAAAGAATTGCAAATACTAATTTCCGGTGCTGAAATACCTATTGACTTGGAAGATTTAAAGAGACATTGCAAATACGGTGGAGAATATAGTCCTGAGCATCCATCAATTATAGTTTTCTGGTCAGTTTTGGAAAGCTTCAATGATTTGCAACGTAGACAATTACTTAAGTTTGTGACAAGTTGTTCGAGGCCTCCGCTTCTAGGCTTTAAGGTAAGTTACCACATAATTTCAACCAGTACGTCAAGTGTAAACAAAAAAAAATCTCACAAATCTTTTTATTCAACAGGATTTGGATCCACCGTTTTTCATACAGAACGCTGGGGATATGGAACGCTTGCCTACAGCGAGCACCTGTACAAATCTGTTAAAGCTCCCACCGTTCAAGACGGAAGAGCAGATGCGAGAAAAGTTACTGTACGCTATCCAATCGGGAGTAGGCTTCGAGTTGAGTTAAATTTGGATATGGATACATTTAATGTTTTTCTAAGTAAGCTTATGAAATACAACCTACTGTATCATTAAGAATATTATAAAATTTACTTAATGCAGGCAACTTTCGTTTGGAACTGAGGAGTAGTTGTAAATAAATGCCACATATTATTGTGAACGAAAACAAATTGGTTGGGCAAAGGTGCCAGCGTATAGAGAATTCTATCTATAAAATAAACAGTATATTATTACTAACTTACCTTATTGGTATGTTTGTATAGAATCTTATAAGTTGATGAGTCCAGTTTTTTTAATTTCACACGGGAGAAGTAAAACTCTGTAACTAAGCTTCTTCAAATATTTTGCATATTTTGATAACAAAATATTTGCGTATTCAAAACAAATTTGAACGAATCTTCATACACAAAAAACCAAAATTTGGAAGTCAGTAGCTCATCATTGGCAAATCAAAGGCAACATACAAATATTTAGTACGCAATTTCTGCAGCATTTCAGAATAGTTTCAGTTGAACATAAGCAACATATCATAAAAAGCAACAAGGCTGCAGTATTTCGGTAATTAATACGTAGCTCA